TCACACAGGGAAAAGGGAAACAACGGAGCACCTTAGCTTTCGTCTTTATTCAAGACATCTTCAGAGGCAACTGTATTGCATGGACAGAGAGAGGCTTAAATATACGGGGTGACCTTATTAAACATTAGGTCAGGTCATAATGATGTCGTCCACTAATCCCCACACCAACATCAACACACAGAGAAAGGGGACGACGTGACTAGTCATGTCAGGTCAAAAATAAGGGACCCACAAAACAACTATCGTAGCTCCAAGGTTTTCAAAGCATTTTTAACCTTGAACCATTGAAAAATGAATTTATGTAACATATCAGTTTTGAACCGACCATCACTAAGGTTTATTGATTTTAATTCCTTAATTAAACTATCTTCAACCTGAAGTCTTTCTGTGACGCAAGATGATTTGAATACTTCTAAGCTTTTTTCCCAAGCAATGGAATGATTATTATTCCTAATATGAACGAACAGGGCACTGCTTTCAGATGCTGTTCTGATATTGTACTTATGTTGTTTGATTCTGGATGACATCATTATATATATATATATATATATATATATATATATATATATATATATTAGACTACAATCAATCTAGCCTTCACTGATGTTTCTCGATTATCTTCTCATCATAATATGCAAAATTTTCAAAACTGAAATGAATATATGGGAAAAAAGTTAATAAAGGAAGCATCGTAGTCTAAATGAAAGTAAGAAGATTGAGTGAAGAATAATAAGAACTAAAGAGTGATAATTTTTAGTGTATTCATTCAAGAATGAAAAATGATTTTCTGGAAATTGAAAGAATCTTGTGAGACGACACTGCGAGGTAGCCGATGAGTGTGTCCCTACGTCGGTTGTTCAGGCGAAGAGGTTCTGTACGAGAGGAAGACTTCCATGATAAATGAAAGAACATATTATTATGGCTGACTTCAACCTAAACACTGGAACTCAAGAACTTTACTACAATTTCCATGTGAAAACTGAATGCAGGTGAGAGTTAGAAAAAAAGGCACATGTCTAATTTTTTTCAGTAACAGAACAATAACAGGAAATTGAGAAGGAAATAAGAAAATTCATCGTTAATTCCAGAACATGATGTACTATTTATGATGTATCACTGTTCAATCAGTTCAGTGACATCAGAATTGAATATTGTTCTGGAATGAGTAAAATTCAGTGGTTATGATAGCGTTTCAGTTTAAAATGTTAAATACATAAACTTTTAGCACATTTAAAGATTAAAGTGAGGATGTTAATTTAAGTGTATGAAGATAGTTAAAATAAAGTGTATGAAGGAAGTGTAAACTAAGCTACAGTAAATATCTCAGTTGAGCGAAAATAAAATATAAATAAAACCCGAGAATATTTAGATATACTGTACTGTACCTCACCTTGTTAAACAAGATATCCGACCGATCAACTGCTTATGAAAGATTTAAACAAAATCTTACGTCAAAAACAGTATCTCAGTGGAGATAATTAGGGTAATAACTATACGAAACAGTGATCTCCTGAATAGAGTTGAAAAATTGTATATAAATCTACCGAGGACACCTTGGGAGAGCTGTCACACAATCCTCAAGATGAGGCGGCAGCTTCACTCTGGTGAATGAAACATGATCAATATTGACTGACATAATGAACGAACAGAAAAAAAAATAATATGATGCTTCATGAATTTCTGCTCAGAAACTTCATTAAACTGGACAAAGTGACAGAGAGTTGGAACAAACCTGCTGTCATAATTATTTAATAGAGGTGCAGCAGTCAGCCTTTATCAGTTACTCGTTGTTTAATTTATAAAAGTGATTATTAACAGATTTCAAAGAAAGCTTAATTTATATTAAAGGCGAGTTATTACAGGACAAGAGGCGAGTTATTAACTGTCTAAAAGGTATTGCAGAAATGTAATGAAGAGTTACCAATAGGTTGTGTGCAATGAGTACGCTGATACTTGCCCCTTTGTTTACCGAAGTTTACAGTGTTGACCTGTCCATGTGAAAGGGAGTTCGATCTAGGAAATGTTGCCGTGTGTGTGTGTGTGTGTAATAATAATAATAATAATAATAATAAAAATAATAATAATAATAATAATAAAAATAATAATAATAATAATAATAATTAACGGTTTATTGAAAAAGTTCTGCAGCCCGAAAGATGAAAATATACAATGGACGTAAATGACTTATTACATACATTGGTGATTAATAAACGCCTTCATTAGAGAAAGGTGAAGGAACAGACAGTGAAAATACAGATTAATGTTTACAGTGGAGGTCACGTAGATCTTGTGCGCTGAGGTGTTGAACAGCAGACACGTGGTGTAGTAACTCCCTCACAGATGGTGTTATGAGGGGCTTGACGTGGTGTAGTAATTCCCTGACAGATGGTGTTATGAGGGACCTGACGTGTGTGTATGTGCGTGTGTGTGTGTGTGTGTGTTTGTGTGTGTGTGTGTGTTATATTAAAAAGGGAAAATTGCCGATTAAAGATAACTTCGGTATATAATATTTTTAGGAACTTCTGACTGGCCACAAACGATCATGTAAATCATTAAAATACCTTACCTTACCCTACCTAATCTACTTTAGGTGTAATGTTGCTGTATTATGATAGTAAAGAAGCCTTAAATGAAACAGAGCAAATTTTACTATAAACGAATTAATTTCCATTAAGTTACAGCAATAAGAAAAAAAAACCTTTTCGGCAAAAAATTAATCGGCAATTGTCTCGACTGAGCGTGACATGGTTATATATATATATATATATATATATATATATATATATATATATATATATATATATATATATATATATATATATATATATAATATGAAAGAGCTACAAAACTAATGAAAAGGTCTTGCACCGAAGTATAAGATATGATTGCACTTATTAACACATTAGCTGTAGTGGGCAGTCAACGTTACAAGAAGAGCAGATCACCACTACGTCAAAACTGTCATTTACTGGCCAACTCCCAACTCGTAATGAAAATTTTTGAAAGAAAGACTTAACTATAAAATGCAAAGGTGAAACTGAGACATTAGGTGGCGCTCAAAGGGCAATGACGGCTGAGGACGACAGGTTGTGGAAACGAATAGGAAAGGCCGCTCCCTGTGGTAGTAAAGTGATGCTGATCTACACCTCACAGGAAACTGTAAAACGAACAAACTTATTTACTTATTGAAAACATATTTGAATACAAATATCTTCATCGTCAGTGATAAAAAGCGAAAGTCAACACATCACTCAATAAGTTGGTAGCCCAACTTTTACGGAAGTTGTTCTTTTAAATTCCAGTAATATAATATAGTTGGTACGAAATCTTTAATCAATAAAATCATATAATACAACAAGTTCAATCAATTTAATGGTAAAAAACCTACACAAGTTTATTAAGCCAGAGGTTATAAAATAAACCGGATGTTAATAGAAATAGGTGGCCGACATAAAGCAAGTTGTTCTCATATAGACTTAAGCCACAGTAAACAACTGTATAGCTCTAGGTGAGGTGTTCAGCTGAGGCTTCTTCAAGGGCACATGTTGTGGCGCTACAGTAACTGTGTAATGTCATCCATCACTACACAACCCCTACACATTACTTACACGTAATTTTTCTTCTACACCTCAGTCATAATGAATGTCCTTCCTCATAAACAATTATATGATAATGTACATTACAGTAAACAGTTATATAGAGATCTGTCACAGAGGCTAAAAGAGGTATTATTGCAGCACAGTAATACACTACAACATCCTTAGTAAATGTTCAACATTCTCTTCCATTGGGAACTGAAATAACAATATAAAATGCTTTACCGCGATATTATTGTGCAATGTGATTTATTTTTAATTCTTTCGTTGATGATGGAGATATATGTACGCTACACTGTAACGCTTAGGCAAAATAATGATACCGGTTCCTCGCACCCATTATGCTTCTCTTCCTCCGTGTATATATATATATATATATATATATATATATATATATATATATATATATATATATATATATATATATATATATATATATACAAATTATTTAAAATTGGATTTCCTGAAGACATGAAGTATAGTACAAGCATGTTTTACATAGTAGGTGGATGAGGATGATATTAGTATCACCACTTAACATGACCTCATTGACCTTACAGTATCTGACAGTCCTAAATACCTCGAGTTATTCTAGATGATGTTAGTAATTTAGCACTGGATGATATCACGGAAATGCCACCAATGTTACACAACTTCCGTTTGTATTGAATTGGTTTTAATTGAAACAGAAACCAAAAATGTTATAATAATTTTTTTAGTCCACACAAAAGGTTATTGGGTAGATTATTTCTAAAACTCCTGACTCACACTGGTAAGGCAGTGAAGGAAGTTGCAGGTGACTCTTCAGTAACATCTTCACTATTTATCTCTCATACCTACAGTACAGTATAAAGGACAAGAACGATAAACTTTTTACCTTATATATCCCTGCAGATGAACTTTACCCCTTTAATAACCTTAATAGATGTAGCAGTAGGTAAACTTAAACCATGTGTATTTTGTAAATAATATAACAATATATATTTATATATATATATATATATATATATATATATATATATATATATATATATATATATATATATATATATATATATATATATATATATATATATATATATATATATATATATATATACTATATATATATATATCTTTTATTAAGGAAATTAAGCTTTAGAGGTTCCCATATTATTGTTCAAATTCTCAGCTATTCTTGGTAAAAATATTGCATATAACCCACACAGCATATTATCCCTGTTCCTACATTAACATAATGATCATACTGGAATGTAAACGGTTTATGAATCTGTAAACAAATTAGTTTTAGTAATAATAATACAATGTGAAGTCTCATACTCCTGTGGGGTGTCGTCCATGTGAGGACCCCCAAAGTGGGTTCTACATCAATGTAATCCATTAAAAAACATCTGTGTTATTCAGAAGGAGATGGATCCAGTCAACAAGCGCATCAGCAGCACCAAATTCACCAGCAACAACAACAACAGCAACAACAACACCATGGCTATCAACAACCCCAGCAACAACCCCAGCAACAACCCCAGCAACAACATGGTCTACAACCTCAGCAGCAACATGGTCTACAACCTCAGCAGCAACATGGTCTACAACTTCAGCAGCAACATGGTCTACAACCTCAGCAGCAACATGGTCTACAACCTCAGCAGCAACATGGTCTACAACAACAGCAGAATCTCCAACACCAACAGGATAATCTCCAGCAACAGCAAAATGTACAACATCAACAGTTCCAGCATCAACAGAATACACAGCAACAACAACAAAATTTGCACCAACAAAACCTTCAGCAGCAAACTCTTCAACAACAGCAGACCTTACAACAACAGCAGCAAAATCTGCAACAACAGCAAAATCTACAGCAACAACAAAACCTACAACAGCAAAACTTACAACAACAAACTTTACAGCAACAAAACTTGCAACAGCAAAATCAACAACAACAAAACCTACAGCAGCAAAATATCCAGCAACAGCATAATCTCCAACAACAAAATATCCATCAACAACAGCAATTACAACAACAACAACAACAGCAACAAACCCAGCAGCAGCTTCAGCAGCAGATGGGCCAACAACAAAAACTTGGAATATTGTCTGGACTTAAGGGGGACCAATACACTTCAGCATATACAGGGATATCACCTCCATCACGGCCACTCTCACGGGAGGACTTGTACGGTCAGCAACAGCAGGGCCTTCCTGATGGTCTACTGCAAGGACCCGGCATGATGCTTCACAGGTCAGTTTCCTACTAAGATCCTCACCCGTGGCCAGAAGCACTACAGGTGAGTCATAAAAACAGCGTGCGGATGGTCTGTTATGATTCATAACAGGGTAAGTATGTAGGATCTTCTTGACAATCTGGTATTGCTGCCATACACAAAATGCTTTAATTATTGTTTTGTAGGGCAAGGATTAGTGTTCGTATAGACTGTTTCTGCGAATAATTAATTCCTCACCATCGTGTTTACCTTTGCTTAGGAAGAAACCATTAATAGCAAATACTGTCAAAGGTCATTTAGTTAATGTACTAACATTACCCATTGCCTTTCCTGAGGCCATGTTATTTTCGTCTCTTATCCAAAATTTTAATAAAATGTATCTTAATCCAACCGGCAAGGTAAGTTGTGAAAGCTAAAAAAATGAGAGTTAAATGCATGATATTGACAAAATATTTATCGCTCTCTTAAATACATGAAGTTTTTAATTATCTGTGATGCTCTCAATCAAGTATTTTGCAAGGAATAACTCCTCTGTTACCATTTCTTGAGCGTTAAGTGATATGTGGTGACTGTATATGTGTTACAGACCCGCACCGCTCTCCCCCACGGAGCTGCAGCGAGGTGGCGTCATGGTTACTACCTCCGGGATTGTCAAATCTCTAGACCGACCTCGTCAGACCTCGGTAAGTCTTTTCTCGTTTCCGACACCATCAATATTAACATTTATCCACTGCTTCCTTGAACTCGCCATTATTTCACAAGTCTTTTCCACCCTTTTCACGTACTCTCACAGTTTTACTCTCTCTCTCTCTCTCTCTCTCTCTCTCCTGTCCGCCATTTATGCTGACCCACACTTGCAGTTCTCATCACTCACGCTTTTCCCACAGGCTCATCATCTTTTTCTTTCGAACTGCACGACGTTGCTCACTGAAAGGGCAACCGCAATTCTCTTTGACATACTCGTATGAGAACCATAAATGTGAGTAAGATTTAGGGGCACCTTTAGCTGGAAGGTAGACCAAATTGTACTGACCAGGGAGTTCCTTCAGTGTCATGTATAAGTATTAAACTTGTTCATTATATCTGAAGAAAAACAAATTGAGTGAGTGAACAATACTGTATCTACTCTCACATTTTCCATGCGAACTGGAGGACGTTATGTCAGTATGTATGCACCAGAGCCAGTGATAATTTGCGCATTGATAAGTCAAGGTACAGGTACAGTACCGTCCTGCCATTCTGAGCCAGAACTTGAGATTAAGATGAATGAAGTTCACTCTCGATAAATGTATGCATGTCTAACTGTATCTATCTATTTATTTATCAATCTATCTATCTATTTATCTATCCATCTATCTATCTATCTATCTATCTTTCTATATATATATATATATATATATATATATATATATATATATATATATATATATATATATATATATATATATATATATATATATATATATATGAGTACAGAGTGGAAAAAAGTATGTCTGGGTGTTCAATGAATATGAATATATAAGTATATAGATTGACGAATACCAAATAATGTGAAGATGGTTTATTTGTAATGGAAATAATGTATTATACTAAGAGTTTTTGCGGTTAATATTCTTTCTAGGACACGCCTGCCCACTATGTATCACTTGGGATATTTCTTTCCGTATTAATTTTTTGTTAATCTATGGAGTTTTTTGGGCAAATGTTTCTCTTTTGAGTTTACCTCTATCCCCTTGTACGATATTTATACCCCGCAAACTAGGCAGGATTTTGAAGATTAGGGTAATTGTGGGGTAAGAGTGACGTAATACTGTTAAGCCAATCGCGAGACTGGAAGGCTGCAAGGCTATACCCCTCTCCCCCTTCACCTTGATATGCTTCTGTAAGCTACAGGTCACATGGGTTATTATTCAATTTTCTGTGATTTAAGATAAGATAAATAGAGTAAAATCATCTTCCTAGGTTAGGTTAGGTTAGGTTGCTAAAGTTTTTATGGACTTCATTGTTTCTTGGGTTCAAGTTGAATAAAAAGCGATGAGTTGGATCACCCTTATGGTCAAATATATGTCCTAAAACATATATTGATCGCTTTGTAATAATACCCTCGTGGAATAACGTAAAGGCATTTCAAGTACTAGTTTCAACATGATTCTCTGGAAATAGAGGACGGATAACCAGTGCAACAGTTGTGTCAGATACACACACACACACACACACACACATTCAGCCATAGTATATGTCACAGGAAATAGTTATTTATCCGTCCATGACAAATTTTGATTTCGTTTGATGGCATCTGTTACTCGGCCGCCTTTGGTTTAAAAATGCATTATAGGAACTTGTTGTTTGGGATTATTGGGCAAGTGACAACTCAAATAAATTTAAAGAGCGGCCACTCATTATTAAGGTGATGCGCTATTACCAGTGGTTCTCTTCCCTTAATTACTGAAAATTAGTAGATGTTAATGAGTTGATAGTATTTATAGATGAATATTAATTCGTGTGCGTGCTGTCTCAGCTTCTCAAAGTTTTTTTTCTTTTAATCTATCACTTTGTGTCATCAGCTTACTCTCGGAGAGAAGCAGTTATTGTATTTGCTTTGTATAAGGGTAATAGATAGCCGTCATGATATAAATAAATGTGTTAGGCGACAGATGCAGCAGTACGTGGGCTCCGACATCTTAAGATGCTCGTTACCAGTAAACGTTCCCAGACTCCAGCACTACATGCGTAACTCTCCTAAAATGAGAGTAAATAGATGCTACTGAAGGGCTCTTTTGTCGTATATTTAACTACTCAAGTACCAGCAGTGAAGTGGCCCGGTAATGGTGAAGTAATATGTCCACTTGTTTGTGTGTCCTCGCCATCCTAAGAGATATTTAAGGAAGCTTTAAACATCATCAGTATGTACGCTTGTGTACCTTCGATACAGGTTGCATGATTCGAAACTACACGGATATCTACTGCAGGCAACTAACATTACATTAAATATATCAGTTTACGCAGGGTTATAATTATTCTATTGACATAAAAACAACTTAAATAACATCGGCAAAAACAATAACTGGTTAATTTTATATTCTTTCTGTCTCGTTAAGAACACAGTAAGATTTTAGTGAGTCAGCAATAACATGAGGCACTACTTGAGCAGAGTTGCACTTTCTGTGCCACCACTACGACTGAAGGCTAATAACCGTCGCAAATATTCCACTACCACGCTCTAAGAAAGTCTTTTGGAGTTATTCTTCACTTAGCAATTCAACTAACTCTGCATATGTCCTTCTAATTATTGGTTTATATTTACTAGAATAAAAACGGAGAAAAAATGCGATATGTTAACCGACCGTGTGTAGGGATACACTCAAGGATATTATAAGATATATTAAGGAAATTGATAGAAATAATGAGTTTGTGTTCCTCCTATTACCTTAACTCTTGCTATAAACTTGATTGTTTTTCTATTTATTTTCACTGTGTTTGTTCGGTTGCGTATACGGGTGTGCGTGTGTCTGGTTGTCAAAATATTAGTTGCTTGTGTATCTGTCTCCCACTTTCTCTTTCATGTTCATCTCCCCACCTTCCTCTCCCACTACTGAAAGAGTATAGTGATGCAACGTACCGCAAGATAACAGTGTTGAAGTCTAGGGAGCAGTTCATGTGAACGAGTTAATTTATAGTTCACTCTAAAATCTTCCTCTCACCCCAGTTGCTGAAGAGTTTTTAAGTTTAAGTTCCTGTACCGGTAACTTAGTGTATGTCCGCAAATTTAGGTCAGTCACTAAGGTAAGACTTTCGTCATAATTTTTATATTGTGGTGAATAAGTGATCATTTATTTTATTCCCGTTGTGGAATATTCTACTTGGCAGCAGTATGTGTATTAGCAGGAGATGTGGCTGCTAGAAGAAACTAAACTGTATTGTGTGAGGTGAATGTCCAAATTAAATCAAAACCAAGAATCTCTCTACTGTGCATGAGCTGTTTGTTACAGTACCGTGGGTTCACCAGCGCGTATGCGTCATGTTTTTGGTGTCAATGTTTTTCCCTTCTCAAGGCCTTAATGTGTATCGATAACAGCCGAAACACTAGGCTTGTGTGAGTATATTAATCAACAGTCAACTCTAACCAGCACCTCTGTAGGACTAGCAGGTGCACCTTTACCTGAACCGCTGTAGTGGTCTTAATATCATGTAATAATGTCCTTCACAGTAAGCACACCTTGATATACTCCATTCTTGTGTTTTGGCTGACTTTATAACAGTTGTCAACTCTGTACCTGCCTGTACCTTTATCGTGCTGTGATATTTTATGTCTAGCCTCCTAGTTACAACATCGTAGGTCGAAATATTTAATCTAATGTTGTTATTATATGTAGAATTGTCTTGCAAATGAAATGGATGTTCTTTTTTAGCTATGTCACTCTGACAGGAAATAAGTGTGTTACATTTTTTCATTAATAAATACGTTTGCATCTGTAGATTTTTTCCTTAAAAGGAAGTGTAAGTCACATGTTTCCAGACTTATGGCCAAGAGGTGTAAGTCACATGTTTCTAGACTCATGGCCTGGAGGTGTAAGTCACATGTTTCTAGATTCATGGCCTGGAGGTGTAAGTCACATGTTTCTAGACTCATGGCCTGGAGGTGTAAGTCACATGTTTCTAGACTCATGGCCTGGAGTTGTAAGTCACATGTTTCTAGACTTCAGCCTGGAGGTGTAAGTCACATGTTTCTAGACTCATGGCCTGGGATCCACCCCTGAGTCTCTGTTGTCTATTCGTTGTTTCAGCTGTTTGGTATCAAGAAAATTAAGTCGCTTAGGCCTGACTTAGAGCATGGCCCTCCATTGTAGATCTGTCGCCAATATTGGATGTGTCTCCCTCAGTGGAGGCGGCAGAGCAGGAGACCAATGGCAGACAGGTAAGCTGCTGCCCTGCCCACGTCCCGCACCTCGTACATCTAGTTACACCCATACGTACTATAAACACTCACATTAGTAACGTGGGCACCCTGTAACAATCATCCTGTTTCTGGTTCTGTGGGCAGCCTATAACACTCACCACATCTCGTATCGTGGGCATCCTGTGTTTCTAGTACCAGGAGGGCCATCTTATACCCACACCGTATTTTGTATTATAGGCGTCCTCCTACACCTACAGTGATCTAGGTACAGATGGCCATGTTATTACATCTAAGCCTTGACATAATGGGCCACACTACGCACACATTATCTCTGGTATTATGAGTCACTACTACACACACATTATCTCTGGTATCAGCGCACATCATTAAGTGTAATGAGGACACACTACCACCCCTAAACTGTGTAGTAAGCTGTAAGCAGCACTTCCGGTCACACAATAATAAGTTTTTCCAACTTGGGCCACAAGGCTACTATGTCACCTGAAATTTTAATACTGACTTAAGTATTGTGGGCAACGACATCACCAGTCACGGTAATAATCTGTTCCAGGTTTTATGTGCCAATCTTCCATAACCCATGCAAGTTATGGCTCCTGCGTTGTGTGTCACATTACGTAGCTAAACTGTCTCTGATATCGTGGGTCACACTGCTACAACAACTGTATCAGGTATCAGGGACTGCACTGTCTCAAACATAACGTATTTGGTTCCATGGGTTACACTAATCAACCACTTTCAACATGATCCATAAGGCAACAGTCGTCC